CCACCACTGATGCTTCTGACAAGCAATTTTGTTGATTCCTGTGGCTGGATGAACCACCAGTTCATCCTGACTTGGGGATGTCAGGGGTCACAGAGAAGATCTGGGCCCTGCAAAACCTTAATGTCTGCCAGAGTCCTTACACTTTTCTGCATTGTCAGATCTTGAAATGTTTGTTATCTGCATGCAGAAAAAATGGGGACCTGAGGGAGACATCCATATGCAAAGTTTCACTAAGTCCTAGTTTTCCTAGAATGAGGATCTTTAAGAGGGTCTTGATTGTGACTAGCTATGGAACTTATCAGCTCCAGGCCCACTCAGGAGATCAGTCAGTAGTCAGGACCTGTACAGTCTAAGCTAGAGCCATTAGACTGTGCCTTCCTCGCCTCCTCAGCAGTAACTGTTGTACTTCTATGCCAATATGGGTCTGTAGTACTCTACACTATTATCAACATGACTCCCCTTGAGTCATGCAAAAGTGGCCCCAGCAAATTACCAGTGAGCATGGCTATTTGACACTTTTTCATCCCTTGTGTCCTTTGTCCCTTCAAAAAACAACAATGTGATGAGATTTTACTACATTCCAAATTATCGGGTACTCTTCTGGATGACACGGAAACAAACTCTGGTATGACCCAGTCTCTGTCTTCAAGGGGTTTGCAAAAAAAAATGGTGAAACGGGAAATGGTACAACTTATTATTTCAGGAGAAAGTATACAGGATTCAGTCAAAGTGCAACCACTGTAAGTGATGAAGAATAAGAGATTTATTGTAGGAATGAGCCCTTACATGATTGTAAGAGCCGATAAGGAAGTCTATGTAAGGCTCTTGCCTCTACAACTAGTGTTGGGCCTGAAGTCTCTATAGCTCAGCAGGATGAGCAGTCAGAAAGACAGATGGACACGAAGAGAGCAAGCGCAAACTGAAACCATGACAAACTGGAATCAAAAGAGCAAACTGGAATCTACGTCTATCTCTCACTGTCTCCAGCTTTGTTAATGTGGGAGACCTACAGGAGAAGCTGGCACCCTTCATCGTGGAACTGCCCATGCACTTGGCCCAGGGGTTGGAGGAGCTGAAGGAGGAGATCCATTGGTGCTAGAGGAGTTGTAAGCCCAACTGAAGCCCCATGCCAACAAGTGAGTGAGCCACCAGTACCAATAAGTACAAGCAGCACCAGAGGCTGGTATTCTACGCCAATCTTCAGGATGCAGTGGCTGCTGTGTATGATATTTTCACCTTCCAAATCTCACTACAGATTTCTCCATATCTATATAGAAAATTTAGATCCATATAGACAAGAAAAATTTGGAAAATGCAGTTCCAGCTTAGATAAATTGGCACGGTATAAAGTCACCACTTGATCTATTCTCTTTTCTAGTCTTTCCCTATAAAATGTGTGTTGGAGAATTTCTTAGCTTCTTTTAAATGTTTTCTATGTCTTTTTCTTTCTGTGCTGTATTTTGTAAACTTTCTTAAGATCTATTTTAGTTTACTAAATATCTCTTTGCCTCTCTAATCTTCTGTGCAAGATATTCAGTCTTTAATTTCGATAATATTTTTCATTCTAGACTTTTTATTGTTTTTTGTAACTGCCTGTTTTTATTTTATCATGCTATTGCTCTTCAATTTCTTTAAACATTTTAAACATTCTTAATTTACACTCTATATCTAATGTTTATATTATCTGAAGTTCTTAAGGGTCTAAGTCTGCTGTTTATTGTTTATCTGCTGACTCCTGTTCTTAGAGTCCTGATTGCTTGTGTGTCTTTTTGTAATATGATAGCTTTACTGATATAATTCACCCATTTTAAGTGTACATTTAAATAGTTTTACTATATTTGCATAGTCGTAAATCATCACCACAATCAATTTTAGAATATTTTTATCGCTCCAAAAAAGAAACTCTGTACCTCATTAAAAGTCACTCTTCATTTCCTGCCAACCTTCTGCTGCAGCCCTGGGCAACCACTAATCTACTTTCTTTATATATAGATTTGCCGATTCTGGATGTTTCATATAAGTGGAATCATACAAGATATGGTCTTTTATGACTGACTTCTTTCACTTCGCATTGTGTTTTTAAGATTCATCCATGTTGTAGCACGTATCAGTATTTCATTCTTTTTTATTGCCAAATAATATTCTGTTGTGTGGATATGCCATATTTTATTTATCCATTCATCAGTTAATGGGCATTTGAGTTGTTTCCACTTTTTGGCTTTATAATGCTACTCTGAACATCATGTAGAAGTTTTTGTGTGGACACTAAAGTTTTCATTTCTCTCAGGTATATACCTAGGAGTGGAATTGATGGGTCATATGGTAACTCTATGTTTAAACTTTTGAGGAACTGCCAGATTGTTTTCTAAAGTGGCTGTACTATTTCACATTCCCACTGGCAGTATCTGAGGGTTCCAATTTCTTCACATCTTCACCAATACTTGTTAGTATCCGTCTTTTCCATATAGCCATCCTAGTGGGTGTGAAGTGGTATCTCATTGTGGTTTGATTTGATTTCCCTGATGACTAATGATGTTGAGCTTTATGTGCTTATTGACCATTTGTATAACTTCTTGGGAGAAATGTCTGTTCATATCCTTTGCCAATTTTTTAATTGGGTTGTTTTCTTTGTATTATTGAGACATAGGTGTTCTTGTATATTCTAGACACAAGTCCCTTATGAGATTTATGATTTGCAAGTATATCCTGTCTTTTTGTGAGATGTCTTCTTGACTTTCTTGATAGTGTCCTTTGAAGCACAAAAGTTTTTAATTTTGAAAAGTTCCTTGTATGTGTTTTTATTTCAAGGATTATGAGCTTATGTTCAAGAAGACTTTATCTAAGGGAGTCTTGTGCTATTTTTGCTGAAGGTGAGACCCTCTTGAGAGATTTTGTATTCATTCTACCTGTGGGTATTATCTACTGGGAACAATGTTTATATTAATATATTAGCTTGGGGTTTCCCAGAAGACACAATTTTGTGTATGAGGGCAGAGCTTCGATTAAGAATTCTCAAGGATGACTTTTTTCTTGAGTAGGAAAAATTTGCTAATTGCCTTCCTTTGCTGCAAGGGAAATTCTTTTCTGGTTTACCCTTTCACTGACAATTGCCCTCCAAGGGTTCTAACTGTATGTGGGAGATTCCATTTCAAATAGTCACTGGAGTAGGTCTAGTGTGAGGATGATTACTACATTCAAGCTGTTGGTTACTTGAGTTTAGCAGTCTCTCTCAGGGCAGTGGCTATCATCTGCTCATCAGTTTTTCATTCAGTTAACAAATATTCCTTGGGCAACTTCTATGTACCAGGCTCTGTTCTAGGTGTTTGAAATGTATCCTTATTTTCAGCTTCCTCTTAATTTGTGATCTCTGGGAATAACCTTTATTTTCTTGACAACTTGGCTAATGTTTAATGGCTTCATTGAAGAGGATACACCTGCAAAACAAAACAAAAAAAGAGCAACTGGAAATGTAGAGAGAAAATCAGGCACTTGTGGCCCCAGGGAAGCCAAAGAAAAAGACTATTTCAAATAAGAGGCCAAGATCAGTTGTGCCAAGTGCTGCTGAGATTAGATGAAGAGTAAAAAATTCCTTATGGGAAAGGAATTTGTAAAATAAGATTGAAAAAATAAAATCACAGATTGCTCCCTGATACAATTTTTATTTTGTTATTTCTATCCCTAATCATATTCAATTTCCTAATATTTACTCTTATGTTTTATTAGTAAAATGTCATCTTGTTAGACCCATTTTTAAATTTCACAATGGTCTTATTGCATTTTCACCCATGGTTAGATATATATCTTACCCAAAAGTCTGTGTATTCCTTGATGGCAGGGACCATGTATTTGTACTTCTCCATACCAACTTTCTTCCCAGAACATGGTAGTCAATACGTCTTTATTGAATTAAGTTGAGTCCAAAGTAATTTCCCACAATAAACTAATGTTGAAAATAGATGGTTTAACATGCTTTATTGACAAAATATAGGGGGAATTCCCTCCAGAAATGCTATAAACTGTTACATGAATTCCTCTCTTTGGCCAGTGTCTGGGATTGACTTCGGGTTTTCGAGCTCCATGAAATCAGGTAGTTTTTAAGGCAATACTTCATCTGGTCTCTGGGCAACACTTCTAGATCACTCCAGAAGAATTCTTTCCCCCCCTGAAATCACTGATCATTCTTTCCAATTCTTTAGTTTTCACTCAGAAATCTTTCAGGATAGAAATATTTGGTGTGTGTTTTTGTGTATTACTAATAGAACTAGATGAAAACATTATTATTTCCAATGCCCATTGTAGCTTTACGGCCTTCTCTTTGCATGCTAATCTTCAGTTGTCAATTTTGCGGCACTATTTTGAGGTTGATGTGCTATCAGTCCATATCTTGATATTTAATTTTTTTAAACATTGTCTCTATGTATACAAATACTCTCCAAAGTGGAATTAATTCCTGTTCAATGAATGATAGCCTCTGAAAATTTCTCTAACAAGAACATACTAGAAAAGGTAAAACAATTTTCATACAACCTCCAGTGTCATTTTATAAACCCTCTTACCATTCCCATTCCTCCGAATTGTTATTTGTCTCTCAATCTTCCTCTCTAAACTCAAAGCTGCTTGAGGTTAGGAACCATTTCCTGTTCAGCTTTCCATATATTAATATATTACAGTATCCAACAAAGATGCTTAACAGATCTTTGTTGAATAAACGAATAAATAAATGAATAAATGAATGAACATTTGTTCAGGATTTCCAATGGCACCACAAATGGTAATCTCTATTCCCTTTCAAATATCCAATGAGGTAGATAAAATGTACCACAAAGTCTTGTTCTTGGTAGGTACAACAATAGTTGGCATTCTTAACTCTGATATCAAAGGTCCTCATCTCAATCTCAGTTTTGCTAAAAACAAAAGAATTTTGAAGACAAGACATAAAAGAATGTAAAAAGGTGGACAAATGAAAGGAACATAATCCAGTGACAAAATGAGTGGAAATGTCTTTAATTCATCTTTGTAATAAAGTGAAAATTAGAAAAACACATTAAATGCTATTATTCATGAAATCTCTCATTGGTCTGCTTTTTCAGAGGCACCTGGGATTGCTGTGGAGAAGTGAATAACTCCCTTATTAAATTTGCTTTACCTCTTTTCCATCTGACAATAAATGCAATTTGGGGGGGAAAGTGTATACAAAAGTATCCAGATAATCTATTTATTTTATTTTTATGATTATAAGGAAGTTTTTCTTAAAATTCTTGATTTTCATAAACAGCTGAAAGACTGAACTGAGAATTTTAACCAGTTTATAACTTTTGGCAAAGGTCGCACATAGATCCCTCTAAGAATTGGATTGAAGCTATGAATTCTCTTCCTAAACAAATGCGTATAGGCTCAAATACATAAAATTTACATATTAATGGTGCTTATAAATTTTCTGAAGCCCATACTTAGACTCCCTGACGACCATGGACCCTTAGGTTAAGATCTCACAGGTTGGAAGTTCTTATGGTGTAATGACCGTAATGATTGTGATATCAATAATAATGTGGATTTATGTATGAGATAGAATCAAATTTTGCCTGAAAGAGAAGAAGGATAGACTTGTTAAATCTGGAGTTCTTTAGTGGTTCCAGCACTCAGTCGTTTGGTGATGTCCATGCTGATGGTAGGAAGGAGAATGACAATGGAGAAGACTTGGACTGAAGACTAATTATCACATCCCTTCACCTTCACCTCACTGTTTTCTTATTGAAACTCTTAGCAAGTAAAAGATCCCCCCAAAAGCCTGCTACCACCTTCCTGAACATGTCTTTCAAAGCTTCCTTGACTCGCTCATTGCGCAAGGCATAGATGAATGGATTCAGCAGTGGTGTCACAAATGTTGTTACCACTGTCACTGCCCAGTTAGTATCCACAGAGCCACTCTGTGATGGCCTCACATAGAGAAAAATGGCACTTCCGTAGAAAAGAGTCACCACAATCAAGTGGGAGGTACAGGTAGAGAAGGCCTTCTGACGGCCTGAAGCAGAGGGGATGTGCAGGACAGCCAGGACTATGTGGCCATAGGACACGGCAGTAATCATCAGTGAGGATACAATGACAAGAGAGGCAAGGACAAAGTCAGTTTCCTCCAGCTTCTTGGTGTTGGTGCATGCCAGGCGGAGCAGTGGGCCACTGTCACAGAAGAAGTGCTGCACTACAGCATCCTGTTCACAGAAAGGAAGCAAGGCCACAGCCACTGTGGGGCCAAGCACAGGGAGTAGTCCCCCCATCCAGCAGGCCAAGGCCACCCAAAAGCACACAGCACCATTCATGAGCAAGGGGTAGTGAAGAGGGTGACAGATGGCCAGGTAGCGATCCACAGACATGACGGCCAAAAGCAGAAACTCAGAGGCCCCAAGAAAGAAGTAGAAATAGAATTGGGTAATACATGCAGCAAAGGAGATAGTGTGTTGCCTCGAGAGGAAATTGCTCAGCATCTTGGGAATGATGACAGAAGTGAGCAGGATCTCTAGGCAGGACAGGTTACCCAGAAAGAAGTACATGGGAGTCTGCAGGCGAGTATCACCTCCTACCACCCCAACAATCAACACATTGCCTGTTAGAGTCAGCAGATAGACAAGAAGGAAGACAGAAAACAATTCTGCTTTTGTGCTGTTGAGATTCGGGAAACCTGCCAGGATGAACTCTGTCACACCACTGCTCTGGTTCCCAGCAGAAGCCATTATCTTCTCTACCTGTGCAACAACATGAACATGATCCTGGTGATCTTCTCCAGATCAGGTCTTCTCCAAAACAATCCTGAAACTTATTTTATCATGATATGGCACACATATCCCCACATTTTCCAATTACAGAGTCTGTTAAGACCTAAAGGACCTGAGGTCCTCATCTAACTGATTTTAGAGCTGGGGAAGATTTTCCATAAAGTGTAGCTAAAACTTAGGTATGAAAATGCCAAGAGCCTCCATCTTTACACTTCCTATTCTCAAATCTTAACTGATAATACCTCATTATTATAATAACAATATCATTGAGCATCTGAGTTGGGCAAAAATGTCAGAAAAATGATTTTGTGAAGAATATGATTCCCATTTAACCAGGATCAGAACTTGAGCCAGACTGCCTAGCTTTGAGTTCCAGCAACTCCACTTACTAGCTGAGTAGCCTTAGAAAAGTTACTTAACTTCTCTGTGCTCCTCAGTTGTAAAATACTCTAAGAAGCAAGTGAAATAATAGTGAAAAGGGCTTAAAAGAGTTTCCAGCACTTAGCTCACAAATGATGTGGTAGAGAAAGCCCTGGACTGCAAGTTAGGGCACCAGACTCTAGACGTGGCCTGTCACTTCCCTTGGAAGGCTATCAATGAATCCAGCTCCTGTTTGTCCTTCAACTGGTCTGCTGTAGAATGAGTCATAGGAATCTAGGCCATTAGGATACCTATTATACGAAATTACCCTTTTCATGGTGAATTCCCCAGGAACCCAAGAGCCTAACTGAACTCAGCTTGTCACAAAGTGCTTGCCTATCTAAAGCAAGTTATACCATATTTAAAAGGGATAATAGGGATAAATACATTGATTCAATCAGTCAGTCAGGTATCTGCATCTATTTATTTAATGTCAACTTCAAGCTAAGTATTCTGGGTAAGATTAAGATGAATGACTCAAGCTTTTTCAGTCTATGATATCAATGCAAGGCCTTTTCACAAACTTGGGTTCTATTAGATGACTAGCCAGAGACAGAAAAAATTATGAGTTGCTGGCTGTAGTTATTAATGAAATCAGAAATTAAGTCCTTACTATTTGATCCAAGTCCTTCCAGTATTGAAGACCACCACCAGTTATAAGAATCAAATCAATGATGTCCTGAAACTTTGTTTAAAAATGCCTCAGTTAGAATACTGATTCCCTTTAGCCATGCAAAGCATGAGAATTGACCTTAAGGCCTTGGTTCCCTGTCAGCCCTATTGTTCTTTGTTCCCAGGAAACATTAGGCTCTTAGAATTTCTCACCTTTGAATCCCACCTGAGTAGGAAAATTATTGTCTAGAATAAAGCAATTCTATGGTCTTTCTCCCTAAGGATTCCATTCAGAATCTCATCTTCCTCCAGCTTCTATAGAAATTGCTTTACTACCAGTAAAATCATTCAAATTTTGTTGTGTTGATTAGGTATCAGGTGCTATTTTTGGTGATTCAGAGATAAAAGAGACACTGTCGCTATCCTTATGTAGCTCACTGCCTAATGAGAATGACAGAAAAGTTAATATGTGTCACAGGTAGAATGTCACAGGTAAGCATGGGGTCTCAGGGGGCACACAGGAAGGGAATCAAACAGTTTTAGAGAAACAAGAAGTATTCAGGAGAAAAGTGATGCCTAAAATAAATACTAAAAAATTAGTATGGATTTGATAGAAGAGAGGTTTTTTAATGGAAAAGGGCAGCATGTGAACATAGTACATTTGAGCTGAAGCACAGAATATAAGGTGTGGAGTGGAATGAGATAGGACTGGTCACCTCAAAGGGGACTCTTTCTGGCTCTCTGTGAATTACTTCTATTGAATTGAACCTAACTACATATTAAGTGAGAGGAAGAGGAGTCCCAATCCCAAACATGGAAGGAATTCCTCCTACCTACACCTGAATGTCCATGATGTTTCCATGAGGGTGGAGATCACCCTACAAGAATTTTCTTTCCCTTTTTATGACTCAGTGTCTTGCTCCATCATGCAGTCCTTCCCATACCCTGTACTGTGAGGCTGACAATAGCCTGGAATCCTTGGAGTTCCTGAGGATGGGCAAAGCACTTGGGAAAACAGGCAGCAGGTGGATAATCTGCTTCTTCTCTGTGCTTCCCTCCTAAGTAGAATTCCTCAGATGCTGTTCTTCTGCCTTGTGGACAAAGGGTCTTTCTTATCCTAAGGAGGCTGCATCATACTGCCCCTTCTCATGGCCATGTCGAGGTCAGCCATAGGGCCCACCCTTCCCTCCCTGTAGAAAGAGTGTCTTCTGCAATGTGATCACTGCCTTAGCCTTGAACAGATACACTTCAAGTGAAGGACAATGATCTCACTCCAAGGTATGTCACTGCAAGAATAGCATGGGGCTGGAAGGCAAGGGGTGGATATGGAGGGGTTAAACCATTCAACTATCCATGAAAAGACTTAGTACATTTACCTGTAGTTTCTTTTGTCTCTGATGGTTGAGAAATGTTCCATTTAAAGCCAAGTCTTCACTTTTTTGCTGATGAGTTTTAAGTACAAACTGTCAGTTTTCCCATCTTAGACCCCATCCTCCCTGGCTCCTGGCTTTAGCCTTAGTGCAGAGGAAGGAGAATGCTGAAGAAGTCACTGATTTCTAACAATCCTCCTATTGAAGTATGGGATCCTCCAGGCATAACTTCAGTTTTCAGTGGAGATGCCCCAAAATGAAGATTGATTGATCCAGATATCAGGAGCCCAACTAGCAGCAGTGCCTGCTAGGGGAAAGAGACCCAAATGATGAGGAGATAAAACCATAAGAGAGAAAGAGAGAAAATAATTCTTACAAGACCCAAGGGAGATTTGCAGTTCAATGGAAATTTACCAGGCTCCGTGCTTGATAAACCTGAAAAGGAGGCTGACCCTTCATTCAACAAGGGGTGACTGGGAATGTTTCTGCCTTCATCTGTCAACCACCCCAAGCCAGGCAGCTGCAAAAATGTGGAGAATACAGTGGGAATGAGAGAAAGGTTGGAGTTTGACCAGCTGTGAAAGGTCACAATCATCATCCAGCTTTCTCCTGCATGGCACTCAAGGGAAATGTTTATTTCCCAAGTAACACAGATATTGTGTCTTCTCCCTGAGGACTTAAAATGATATTGGGAATCTCTCCTCTAGCTTCTGGGTTGGAAAGTAATAGGAGCCCCAAGGGTGTGATAAGACAGAAGAAGATTCCCTGCGTCATCTCTAGCTTCTTCTGCTTCTCCCAGCCTTGTACTTTATCCTCTGGTAATAGCATATACCATACCACACACCCAAAACATTCTTTAGAATTATGGACCATTGCTCACAGTTTTCCATTTGTGTCCACTCTATGCCTCTGACTAAAGACTAACTCTCATTCATCCTCAATTTACTGTGGTGCATATCAGTTCTTCTGAGACAACTATAAAACTTTGTTGAAAGAAATTAAAGAAGCCCTAAAATAAAGGGAAAGTCATCCTACATTAATCGATTTGAAAACTTGATATCATTAAGATGAATACTAACCAAAGCAATCTACAGATTCAATGATTCAATCTTTATCAAAATCCCAACTGCATTTTTTGCAGAAATGGACATACTGATTCTAAAATTCTTATGGGATTGCAAGAGGCCTCAAGTAGCCAAAACAGTATTGAAAAATAAAAATAAAGTTGGAAGATTCACATTTCCTGATTTTAAAATCTTCTACAAATTTACAGTAATTAAAACAGTGTGATATTGGCATAAGGATAGACATAAAGGTCAATGAAATAGAATTAAGAGTCCAGAGATTAACCCATATATCTATGGTCAATTAATTTTCAACAAGAGTGCCACGATCATTCAGTGGAGAAAGAATAGTCTTTTCAACAAACAGTGCTAAAACAATTGGATATTCATGTGCAAAAAAAAAAAAAAATTGGACTCTTAGGTCACACTCTATACAAAATTGAACTCAAAATGAATCAAAGACCCAAATGTAAGAGCTAAAACTATAAAACTATTAAAAGAAAACATAGGGGTAAATCCTCATGATCTTGGATTTGGCAATAATTTCTTAGCTATAACACCAAAAGCATAAGCATTGAAATAAAAAAATAGATACATTGGACTTGATCAAAATTAAAAATTCTTGTACATCAAACAACACCATCAAGAAACTAATGCCCTTAAAAATATGATAAAGCTTCAGAAATTATTTTAGCAATGTCTGTCTCCATTTTATTATCTCTCCCTTTTATTGACTGGAAATATATCCTCCTTTATTGATCCACAAATATTCTTATCTTTTCTCTCCTATTTCCTATTATTAATCATTTGCTCTACCTTCTGGGCACTTTCCTTGTCTTTATAACACATTTTAAACATCTCTGCTATCATCTTTTTTAATTACTAAGAGCTCTTTTTTGTCCTGAGTATTTTTTTTTTCATAACATCCCTTTTTGTTCTATGATGGCAACTTATTATTGAGAACTTTAAGACATTTAAAAAAATAAAATTATCTCCTCCCTATATGGTCACTGTTTGCTCTAAGTTACCTTTTCCTGCTTATTTGTTTCAAATAAAATCACATTAGAAAATTTTTTTCCAGTAGTTCGCTGATTCTTGGTTAAATGTTTATATTTAAGAGAGACTAAGTACCTGTTTGGAAGCTCTGAGTGCGTGGATTGTCCTTAATGATTCAGGGCCTTACTCTATGGTGATATAGCTGGCTTGTTTGTTTGTTTTGGTGAGGAGGATTGTCCCTGAGCTAACATCTGTGCCAGTCTTCCTCTATTGTGTGTGTTGGATGCCGCCACAGCATGGCCTGATACGTGGTGTGTACGTCCACACTGGAATCTGAACCTGCCAACCCCAAGCTGCCAAAGCAGAGCAGGTGAACCCAACCGCTATGCCACTGGCCAGTCCCTGGCTAGCTTGTTCTTTAGGAAACACTCATGCCAGTTTCTTCAGATTTTTCACGTTGCACTTGTCAGACAACACAAAGAAAATTCTTCAGTTTCCCTGTCTAGTTGAGAAATTTGTGGAGACTAAGGAAGCATCTCAGCAACAACTATACATACATTTATTTAACCCCCTAGTTTCAGAGGTGAAAAAATCCTCTTTTTTCACATGTTCCAGAGACAAATCCTCTAACCTCCTGTTGGGAGTGAGACAGGGACAACAATCCGCCTGGGTAATAAAGAAGTTATGTAGAATCAAACTACTTCTTCAACATTTTTCAATCAATCCTCCTTAATTTAGCCTCCACTCACCCCAACTTCAAAAATGTAGAGGG